ATTATTGGTATGCAGGTGGGGTGTTTTATTAGATAATTTTTCTGAATGATTTGAGATATGGATTGGGCTTCAGCTGCCTTAACCCAATTTTGGAAGCTTTCCTAGAGGCCATAGGGTGACATTGTTATGAGAAACCTTAAAAGTAAAAGAATTACCTATTCAATACATAGGTAATAATGGGAAGTAATTAATACTGAGTGTAAATGTCATGATACGGCTTTATGTTAAAATTTGATTATTTAAATTCTCCATGAATTTGCTGAGCGAGACCTGGCCCTTATGTTGGTGTAATGTAATTTTGGTTGTTAACAGCATATATTACTTTCTTACTAGTGGATGGTCAAGTCGACATCCTGATTAAATGTTTGCATGCAGGTGATGCAGGGGAAGATGAGGTACTTATCAGTTATCACTGACCTGTTTTCACCTTGAATTTGCAGAAAGTAGCCTGTTTTCACTCTGCTTGCCAAAGAAAGGAGAGCAATAGGTTGTCCTTTCCTGTTTAAAACTGTGATTTACACCATAATGATGTATGACGTGAGGTTAGTAATTAGTATTGCAACATAGAACTAACGCATGTCATGGATGAAGAGGTAGATCAGTAATGCAGCCAAGGCTCTCTTGAAGTTAAAGGAAAGGCTGAAGAAAGTGGGTGTTTCTTTTACTACATAATTTTATAAAAAATACATAGTCATCACTGCCTGAAATTTTTTAAAGCTTGAAACATTGATGTCCTCAAAGGAAAAGAACAAAGAGCATGAGAGACTGTTCCATCAGAAAATAAGATGTAAAAATTCTCTCACAGTTCTGTGTTCATTTTTTTGGTCATTCAAAGTTGATGTGAAGTGTTGACAGGTAATAGGTTATAAATGCTACAGTTTTGGTGTTCCATTGTCTATAATATACTAAAAGTTAAAGAAAAATAATATTCAGCTGGGATAGAACTGTTCCTTAAACAGTAAAGTAAATCAGAATTAGCTGCCGTTGAATGTCTGTCTTCAGAAACTTCTCTGTCTTTACAGATAGAGACAATACATTGGGTTTTGTGGTCATTGTAGAAGAATTTTTATGAGGTTTTATATTATGTAATTGTTATTAATTCTTATAAGTTTTTATATTTTTATGGTCAGCTTAGTATTTGTATAAGAAATATTTGTATCCAGTGATACTGTATTTATTTCCTGTGTGTTTTACTTCATGTGGTTTTTTGTTTACATTTATTTCCCCTATTTAATTTAAGACCATCCATCCATCGGTTCCTTCATTGATTTCTTTTTTTTACATAACTTCTAGTAAGTTTTGTAGTCACAACAGCACACAGAGCTTTTACAGCTATAAAGATTTCAAGCTTCTGAAAGAATTTTGGTTGTTTTGTTGAGTGACTTGATGAAAAGTTGAGTTTAACACAGAAGCTCATTAAACTTATAGCTACTCAGAAATAAGAAATAGTGGCAGGACAAACTACAACCCTAATCCATGAGTGTTAAAGCCTTTGACAGTTTCAACTTGTGATGAATATGTGGTAATAAAGGAAAATCCAGTTTTTAGAAATAGATATGCTCTGTCATGGTTCTTTTAGAGAACATAAAAAAGAGAGTATATTTGTTTTTATTGTGTTTGATATTGTAGTTCTGTTTTTAAGATGATTGGAACATTTAAGCTCTTAAACCCAATGCTTAATGGAATTAGCTTTAGAAAAAATCAAAGAAATAATGTATTTGAGTTAATGAACAGTTTTCTGAAATGCAGTGTTCTAACTATTGTATTTAACATCTTATGCCAAACATTTAACTTTGTTTCCCTATTAATAAGTTGTGATGTCACAATCCAGACAGTATGTGTTACTCTCCTGAATTATCTTTTTTTCATTAATACAAAGTTTCATCTGGATTCTGATGCATGCATAATCCATTGATGCTAGGACAGATATATGGCAACCCACAAACATACACAGAAACAAAAGCATTTCCTCATACTTCTACACTCAGGGTATGGTGTTCACTTGTAATTCCTGGATGGCCAAAAAGAGGATGACTGGTTGACGTATTTTCCATTAGTGGGGAATAATGATGCCAAAATAATTTTCTTATGTAAATCCTCTTTATGTACATTAAAGTTTTTACATGCCCATTTATTCTCATTTTAATCTTAACTCTAATCAGAATAAGGGAAAACAGATAAAGAATAAAGCAGATATATATATTTGGTTTTTAGAAAGACTAGAGTGGTACCTTTGACATCTTTAATTTGATGTCAGAAGTAGCAGCAAAGGTCATAATTCATACGAGCAAATATTTTTCCAGAACTCAAGCAAAAGTGAAATAAATAGCTTTTTTTTTGATAGCTTCAGGGTTTCCCTCAGAATAACAGCTTCTCTTTTTGCTGTTCCTTCCTGCTTCCGGCAGCCTGGTCTGTATTTCTTATTAGAAACTGCCTTTTAAGATCAGTGGGTAATTTCCTGCAGTTTTGCAGATGTACCTAAAATTCTTGCTTGTCATTTAATTTTTGTACTGTGGCACTATCATAAGACTTAAAAGTTGCAAGAAAACTTTCAATAGCAAATGCCTCTAATCTACCTAAAATAAAACGTGCTGCGTTTAATACACCTAAGTCTCTGTATATAAAGATAGCGCAGTGGATTGTGCCCACATCTTGTCAAAATCCCACGGTACATATAATAGCACAATAAAGCACCTGAATGACAAATTCAGTGGAGTAACTAACTGGGGAGAGTGGCAACAGAGGAAGTCTGAAAAAGTCCGGTTTTCATGGATCTGCTAAAATACTGGATAGTGATTCCAGCCAAAAGGTGTTTCTTTTCCAGAGCATGCATGTACACAGATTTGGATGAACTAATAATTCTGAAATAATGCAGCCTTATCATTTCCTTTTCCCGAATGACATGAATGTGTAATTTCTTTGTCCCCTTAATTCATTTCAGTAATTTGGTAGTAAGCATATGATATGAAAATTAGTATTCCCAATTAATAATTACGCTAAAGCATTTTAAAGATCATTCGTTTTTGTAATTAAAATTAGGCACACATGCCTTTTCTGGAGCAGAACTGAGTTCAAATTATCATTATCAAAGATGTATGCAGAGCTTAAGGAATATCTTGGGAAGGTTCAAGGAAAAACACTCATGTTAAGCAAAAGAACATTAAAAAAAAAAAAAAACAGGTAATGACTGGGATTTGACTGCTTGGATGCAGTTGTGACTAAGTGTGGGGTTCATTTCACTGTGTGCAGTACTAGAGATCCCCAGAGTTCATACTACCTGTCAGGTGAAGGTACTATTGTACCTTCAGTACCTGGACAGGTACTATCGTCTAGTCCACACCCCATTTTCCTCACCAAAGGAATCATTTATTTCACTCCAGAGCAGAGTGTGGGGGTAACATTAACATGCAGGTAGTTGATCTAATTAAGTGATAATACAGCTCGGTCTTCCAGTGCACAGACAAACCCTGCTCCAGCCTTTGGGTGTTTTCATGAATCTAGGAGTTTTTTCTTGCAATTTATTCTGATAAATCTATTAGTGAGGAAATAAAGGAAAAAGAATCAATATGATGGAACTATCTGTAATTCTGTGTTCTTGTTTTGTTGTACTTGATTTATTACTTTGGCAGCAAAAGTAAAAGTAATGGTGCTTCAGGAATTCTACCCTTTCTTAGTAATTGACAAAATGAAGGTTTCTGTGCTCTTGGACTACTTTCTTAGAAATGTTATGAAGCTTTTTAATAGAATATCATTGTTATTTCAGTATGATGGCTATGGTGCATAAATAAACAAACAAGAAGGAAAAATAATTTCTGGTTTAAGAATTAAGCTTTCCTTGATCAGAAGGCAACACACCCTACTCTGAAGTTCACAATTGGCAAGACTATTGTATGCAAAATTGAATTCATATATAATAGCTGTCATACTGTGTACTCAGTCATCAGTTGTCAGTGAAGTGTGAAATGTTCCAACTGGAATTTGTAGATTTGACAACTCTGTTTGAGCACGTTCTGGGTAAAAAGATGAAGTTATTTTCATCTACGAAAACAAGGTAAAGGTGTCAAGGATATGCTGGTTAAAGATGGCAGGCTCAGCTGCTCTGATCTGCCTTTTCAGCTCTGACAGTCATTAGTGATTCAGTGAGGAAAAGATTGACCATTGTGGTCAGAGATTCTCCTGTGCCTCTCTTTATGATTACATCTACATATGGGGAAAAAAAAAAAAAGGCTTGAACAAATAGTTCAAGATTAAAGATTATACAGTAGGGTAAAGGATCCTCCAAATCTTTTTCTCCCTTTTGTTGTTCCATCCTTTTTAAAATGATGTTGGCTCATAATTTTGTTACATTGTAACAATGGGGTATTATCATCACTTTGTTGTTGGGAGATTTTTTTTTTAAATGGTATGGTTATGCTAAGAATAAACAATAAGCCTTCTTTCCTCTGTGTTTATTTTAATGCCAAACCTTTTGTTTTCCATCACTCTTGTTGTTATATTTTGCCGGAATAAAATACTATTAATTGTCTTAAAGGGTCTTAAACACAGTGCATCTGGAGATTTATACCTTAAGTTTTGGATGTTTTCTAATAACTTCTATTCCCCTAAAGCAGCAAAATAATTTTGGCATTCTGTAAAGAGTAAGTTAAGTTATATTTGTTACGTACTCCTTTAAAGCTTGACATGTCATTGGTTCAGTGTTATGTGCTCCTTTAAAGCTTGACGTGTCATTGGTTCAGAATCTGGAGGTGATTTTCTTTTAACTGAAATTCTTTCGTTTCCTTAATACTGATTGGGCCAACTAAATCTAGGCAAGCAGAGCTCTTAGCCCATCCATCTTTATCGTAACTGGTAATAAAGAACCCTCTAGGCTTGACATACTGTCATGACAATTATTCTGAAGACATTATATAGCAGTTGTATCTGTCAACCCATGCAGTATGGAATATTTTAACTGGCAGTCTTCCAAGAGTGAACATTAATCTTAGCATCTCTTCTTACAGTCCCTAATCAGGATATTCCAGGGGTGATTGCACTAACATTGTTTGAGGACTACATCTACTGGACAGATGGGAAAACCAAATCACTCAGCCGTGCCCACAAAACTTCTGGATCAGACAGGCAATCATTGATTAACTCATGGCACACCATAACAGACATCCAGGTGTATCATTCTTACAGGCAACCTGATGGTAATTACTCTGTCTATGCTTTCCATACAGCACATTGATGTATTTCACTTAGTAGCCAGTTGCTGAGTTAATGGAAGATTATTTATCTGCAGTGATTTATTTCTGCATTTGTTTCAAATTGGGGAAGTATTCAGTTTAACTTTATTAAACATAAATCTGAGATTAATGTTGTAAGTGTGTCTGGTATTAAATGTGGTAGATCTCCTTCAGTGGCAGGATGCCAATTTGGGTGCTTAAACATTAACCCAGATACTGACTGGAAGTACGGAACTGTTAAGTTGCATTACAGTACAAGTTACTACTTACCAAGATGGGAACAGTGTTTTATGTAAAAAATTTAACCTCATTTGAAAAGTAATCGAGTGTTAGTAATGCAGAGGACTGCTGTTATTTAGAAACTTGTCGGACTGAGGGAATGTTCGAGAACGTTGGTGTTAAAATTGCATCTGATCTGATGCCCCTGAATTTGAATTGTAGCTGAATACAATTTGGCACTTGACCTAATTAAGCACTTTTTTCTTACTTTATGTACATATTTTTTAAAAAATGGCTTTTTTTTCCTCGCATTCTTTCCGGATTGAATCTAACAAGTTTTGCATACAACAGCACATAGCTTAAAGATAAAAGGAAAAGGTTGCCTCTTAATGTGTTTTTGATTTGAGATGTTCCTTTGTAAAAGTAATGTTTAATACAATTTTCTTTCTCTGTAAAGTAGAACCCCTGAAGTATACTGAAATAATAGGCTCTTACATCCTTCTCCTGTTCTGTCCACAGTGTCTAAACATCTGTGCACACTAAACAATGGTGGTTGCAGTCATTTATGCCTTCTAGCCCCTGGCAAGAGGTATACTTGTGCCTGTCCCACTAACTTTTACCTTGCTGCGGACAACAAGACATGCTTGTCGAACTGCACTGCCAGTCAGGTAAGTGCGTGTGTACAGGGGAAAAGGGTGTGGGTATTATATTTTACTGTGTTTCCACCTGCTGTTAAATAATGAATGCTGGTGCCCATGAAATGTGGGAGCATCTGTCAACGGAGCTGAGGACTAGGTAACTCATGGGCGCATTTAAAGCGCTTTGTCTTTAAGGCTATTAGTAGAAAATAGACTTGCAAATACCTTTTTTCCAGAGAACGTAGAACTTGTTCCCTTTCAAATGTGGATGTTTCTGTCAGTCACTAGAACAAATGCAGCTACTAAACCCATAAAAATTGCTTTGAAATAACATTTGTATAAAATATGAAACATAAAAATCCAGAGTGTATATAAACAGTGTTACAGAGCGTATATAACAATGATTTAGGAGTGTTCATGCGTGAACAAACTTCACATTAATACAAGAAAACAAGCTCAGTCCAGTTAGCTAGGTAGTTAAACAAAAGGGTTACATTAAAAATAGTATAGTAGCTGAAGTGGAAATGGTAGAATATGCAATTAGCTAACAGTTGCATTAATTAAAACATTGAATTCTTTATGGAAGGTGGATTCCGGCAACTTGAATTAAATATTTGATAATTTCTTTCTTAAAATACAGGGTAGATTAAGTAGAACATACTCTTGTAAGAGAACCACTTTGCTATAAGTCTTTGGCATGTTCTATCCAGACAATTAAATGGTTGATTGTAATGGTACATAAGGTCGTTAAAGTTTTTCCAGTAGTCCAGCTTTTCTAGTAGTCTACCTTTTTGGTAAGTATGCTGATGATCTCTTACAACTTTTTAAATCATGCTGCATTTTGTTTGTACTCATTAAGGAAAGGGTTTTACTCGTAATTTTTAGGGAACACTGGTCATATTAAATGATGTACAGTTTCATTCAGGTAATAGTGTTATGTAAGAAACCTTCCCACTGTCTTCCCTTAAGGTACTGTTTAGTATGATTTTATGATGTTCTTTGTAACTTTTCTGTTTAGGTTAACTGCTTGTTACTCCCTATCAAACGATTAACAAAAAGAAAGTGTAAAACATGTAAAATGAGGAATCTTCCACCTATTCTTCCCTCATATCTAGCTTCTCAAATGTGTTTAGTTAAAAAAACAGCATTTTGCCTTTTTTCTATAAATGGCACTGGAAGCTTATTCCAAACTGAGTTTGTATGCTAACAGCTGATTGAATGGCTGTATTCCTTTCTAAATAATTCATTGGTAGTCTGAATTGAAGGATAGCATCACATCCTGGATCATCCAGGAGCAATATTTTGTCACTTGTGGATTCCGTAGGGGAGAGAGCAGGGCTATATAGAAGACGCTGTTTCGGACACAGTTACCAATTGACATTGGTTCTTAGTAATTTTCTCCCAATTTTGAAATCTGTTTACTGTTTGATCATTCATCAGTCTGATGGTGTCAGATTCAAAGATCAATAGCAAAAATATGCTAGGCTGCTTTAAAATTTTTAGATGATGCTGTAAAATCATAGCTGTAATAACTCTTGACAACATACACACTGTTTTCTATTTCTAATGAGGAGTTGGATGGCTGATACATTGGTCTTGCAGGCTTTCAGCTGTCTTTTATTGGCTAATCTGACATGAGAAATTTTTTAGCACAAAATGTATCAGAGTAGAACACCAAAACTTAAGCCATTCCAGGCACACCCAGATGACACTGACCCCTGATTTTGCAAAGTGTCTGGCTCCCCAGTTTAGAAGGGAATGCAAACATTTTAATGCACAGCATAAAGTTGTTAGTACACAGTGGCTGGAATTATATTCATAATGTCATTTTAGCAGTTGGAAATCCCTTGTGAGAAGAGCAAGGCTAGTACCTTAAAACAATTAAGCATCAGGAAAGGTACTCTAGAAAGAAAATATTAATGAGAATTTTCTGCATTTCTGTTTGTGTCATACGATTGGAGGCCTTCTGCTGAGATACTCTGAGGTTAATACCTTTGTGGAACAGTTAAATAGTTTAGAATAGTGCCTTTCAAACCCAACCAGCATGTCCCTCAGTGTCATACAAGAATGATGTAGCTTCTACTGTAGTTCTACTACATGAAAATACTACTATATTTTCTAGTCAGAAAAGATAAAACTGAGCTCCTGCCAAATTTAATACACGTTTTAAATACAGCTTTATTAAATAATTACTGATTTTTAAAACCATGAAAAAAAGAAAAAATACTCCTAGTCACAGACACAAATATGTCTTGCACTTTTAAACTTATTGGTTTCCATCCTTTCTGTGTTCATACAGACCCCAGGTAGGAAACACATTTCTTAAAAGTTGCTGATAGTCTATCCAAATTTCTCCCCCTAACCTTAGCCACATAATGAACGTTTTTATGTTTAGCCCTAGAATACTGCATCAAATAATTTCAACCCTTTGTTTTGTTTGCATTCCTCTTTCAGTCAGAACAAAGGTACAATGTTGCCTCAGCTCAGAGTAAAGGCACTGCCAAGGTCTTACAAAGGGTTTTCCTTTTTTGTACAATGTTTTGTCCTTTCAAAAGGTTGGAGGGCTTAGCTTCTATTTTTCTCATTTAATTCAAACAATATAAGCAATACTGTATACAACACTGCATGTTAAGGCCCTTTTCTGTAACTGTGAGTGTCTTGGTTTATCTGGAAAAATTATGTTGTTTGCTTCAACAGCCTACAAAGACTGTTTAAGAAGTGAACTGGTTGTTTAGAATAAGATCTTAAGAAATCAAATAATAGAATGCAGCAAAATGGAATGAGTGGTTTTATATCAGGGGCATTCTGAGTCAGTGCATCAGTGTTGTTGAAACTACAATGATTTATCTCAGTGGAAGTCTCAGTGCAAAACAGCTCCAAAAAAATAATATTTTAAAAATATGTTTTAGGAAAATTAACAGCCAGGGTCGATTAATGGAACAATGACTTAGCCAGTGAATCTAATTTTTCATAAACTGTACGTTCTCTGTAATAAAATAAATAAAGAGTCATATCAAAGTTGTCTTTCTTTCATTTTACAGTTCCGTTGCAAAACTGACAAATGTATTCCGTTTTGGTGGAAATGTGACACGGTCGATGACTGTGGAGATGGCTCTGACGAGCCTGAGGAGTGCCGTAAGTGCCTTCTGAATTTGGAACACAGTGTTATCAGTAGAGTCCAAATCAAACATAAATGGTTTATAGATGTTAGGAAGAGGAGGTGGTAGTGTTTGGGCTTGTTTTGTTTTTATTTGATTTGGGGTTTTTTTAATGCTTTTGTTTGCAGAACTGTTTCCTTTTCCTCAGTCTCCGTCAAATTTAGGTGCAGGATCTTGCTTGTCAACCTGTAAAAGATTTTTATTAACTCATGTCTACTAAAGGTCTTCTAAGGTCTTTGGTAAATCATAAGACCATGTTTTTCATGTTTTAAATTTTTGCTTGATCCCAGTTACGTATTTGCTGAAGATTTTTATTTTATAGCTGTGTTCTGAGGTTGCTGATTTTTATACATGAATACGAAGCTCTGCCAGTTTGTTTATTTTTGTGTATAATAGGAACGTGGAACTCTTATCTCATTTGTTTATGCTTCATTGCAGTTATACAATTCAGCCACACATTGTTATTTAGTGCAGTTTTCTGAACAACAATGTTCTCCGTGTGATTCCTACTAAGATTCTGTTTATGTAAAACATATCGTGAGAAATAAATATTTTAATTCTACAGTTTTACAAATATTGTCAAAGGAAAGTTTGGAGGCCTACATCTTACTCCTCCAGTATGAAAAGTTTTATTCAATGAACATTTTTCATGTATCCTGTGTAACTTTGACACATTATCTTGAAGGTGGTGCAGATACAGCGTATTTCTTGGTAGTCTCCCACAGGCCAAATATTAGGTTGCTGTAGTATTGCCCCATTGAATTGTAGTCAACTGGAAGTCAGTTAGGATGATGTCTTCATCAGCATCCTAAAGGATATTTTCTGTGATGGTAGCTGACTGAAGGTTAATCATCAGAAAAGTACCTTTCTAGTGTATTGTATTCTCAGAGACTAATACCTGTCAATGATGCTATTTTCCAGTCCCAGTCAGTGACTAATTTAATACAATTATGTTAATCTACATAAATCAAAATATTTTTGCATTCTTCCCTTAAGCTTATATGCACAAAAAGCTCTACTGTGTGTTCTACTATCTTCCAGTTAAGTAACAGTTAATTTCATTTTTTGCATTGAAATGTCATCCATATTTTTGCAATGTCATAATTAGGGGGTTTTCCTCCTGCAGAGGCCTTTGAAGCAAGCTTTACCATATGTAATCACTCTGCATAAGATTACATTTTATGCTACACTATGTTTATATAAAACATTACTATAGAGGTACAGAATTGCTCATTCAAGCAAATGGCAGTGGCTGTGAGAAGAACCAATGTTAGACCTTACGTGGAAAATAGAATTGAGTGGGATAGTGAGTTTCTTAAATGCAGACTTAAACTCAAGTGTTTAGATCCTAAATTGCAAGTGTCTGTTGAGCTAACAGTAAGCACTGGCCTGTAGAAGTTTGCACTTTGTATCATTAGTAAGGTATAATTATCGTTATGCAAATTCAAAATCTCTGACTTCGAAAACAGTTTTGAAACAGTACATGTACATTTTAGTTTTTAATATCTACTCATACTGAGATTATGTAGGCAAATACAAAGGTTTATAAATTCCCCATAGAGGAAGAACAACACTATTGATACTTTAACTGTTCCTCTGATAATATTCATTAGCAGTTTTCTTTTTTTCTTAGCTGAATTCAGATGTCAGCCAGGCCGTTTTCAGTGTGGAACTGGACTTTGTGCTCTTCCAGCCTTTATCTGTGATGGAGAGAATGACTGTGGGGACAATTCTGATGAACTGAACTGTGGTAGGTGATTATATACATTGTAGACTTCAGAAATGTGCTAAACTGATTTAAACACTATGCTTTAAAGTCTGTCAAGAAATTATACTTTAAATATTTTAAAAGATTTTAAAATTAAAATATAATTTTTAACTTTTGATCTCTTTAACTTGGTATTTTTATTCTTTTACCTTATAGACACACATGTGTGCCTGTCAGGTCAGTTCAAGTGCACAAAGAATCAGAAGTGTATTCCCATAAATCTGAGATGCAATGGACAGGATGACTGTGGTGATGAAGAAGATGAAAGAGACTGTCGTAAGTTACGTTTAGAGAATTTTGCCCTGCCGACTCTGTCTGGTTTTAAACAAGGAGCTGAAGGAAAATATGTAAAATACTGTAAATGTTCTCTATGTAAAATTATTTGAGGAACATGAAAAATGGTTAATTTATGGGCTTGATTGATGTGCAATGGTTCATATGCAAGGGAACAAACTAAAATGTCATTTATTAACTTCATTTTTTTAAAGTCATTTCAGAAAAGAGGTGTGTGCAAACAATTAGTTTCAACCATTTAATTGGGTTTCAGAAACATCCATTTTACTCTTAACCACCTCACAAATGACTCATCTTCTTGAGGCTTTCATCTGCCATGCCTTGCAGCAACACATTTCAGTGGAAAAAGCTGTGTTTTCATGCATCTTTTCGTTGAACAGATGTAGATGCATAGCTCCTCCTTCTACATCCTTTTGCTTTGATGGATTTTTCTACCTTTTCTATTCCCTTTCCTCTGGGGACTTCTTCATTAATTTGCCTATGTAACTTGATTTCCATTTACTCAGCTTTTAATACACCTTTTCATAAAATCATTTTCCCTACGTATTTCATACATATAAGTTGAGAAAATATTTTGAGATTTAGAATGTAAATTTATTAAATAGCTTCTGTCTTTGATAATTTTCTAATTAAAATGATGGTGCTGTCCTCAAATATGTCTCTGTCCACTGAATTCATTATTCAGATCTACTGCTGATCTTCGGTGCTTATTCCTATTTTCTGAATTGACTTTCTCAAGGTTTGCATATGCAGCATTTCTGCGAAGACCATAGCCTTTCCTGAGGAAAGGGTTGCTCAGGATACAAAGGCTTTGTTGATGGTCATGTTTAATGACCACCTTCCGAAAAGCTCCACAGAGCTGTAGGCTCGGACAGACAGCATTTTATGTTGGTTTGCAGGTTACATTTCTTTAAAAACTGATGAAGTGTGGTCAGGTAAACTCCTGTGGAAGATAGGGGAGATTGCTTTTTTCGTTATAAGCATGGTACGTGAAAGGTTCCCAAAACCTCGAGGTGTAGGTGGCAGAAATGAGATCAGAGCAGCGAAGTCGGCAGCACAGCAGTGCTCAGGGACTATGGAAGGTATAGGGTCAGGATTAGCAGTGATGGAGTTGAAAACTTGCTAGGGATTAGTGGGGTAGGACAGTGTGATATAAAGCAAGCTTTTAAATTGTCTGAAACTCAGCCACCAACCCACCTGCAAAGACACAGTGGGGAGTGGGGGAGGTTAATTATATACTTTTTTTTTTCCTGTTCTCTCTTACCTAGACTTTATTAGCTTCGTTCTTAAGGAAGTTAAGTGTGCTAGTTTATATTTTAATAAAACCTTGCTTGTGACTTCTGGAAACTCTTCATTTGCCTTTGGGGAGATTACAAAAAGGGGAGGTTTTAAGAAGGTCTGCCACAAAGTTCATATTGACTTGGGCTCCTGTCACACGACAGATAACAGATGAGATTATCTATTTCATTCAAATTTCTCTGGGCTCGGATTCATAAGATACAGACCTTTTTTTTTACGGATCTACCAGTGTTTGGTTTTATATTTCCAGTGATCATTGAAAAGTCATGTTTTGTAGTTAAGGTTATCCATATGTAAAATGGAGGTAATTATTCTGGTCTTCATTGCAAAGCACTTTGAAATCCCATGGTGAGGTGTCTTGGGTGAGAATCAGTATTATTTTTTATCGGTATAGTTAGCATAGCCAAGTCTAAATGCTTTATAATTCCAGCAATGTAAATTTATGTATGGAAACATGGCACTGAAAGAAATAATACATCAACTTTTAGCAAACCTAAAGTTTTTCATCTCTGCAAACCCAAGAGGCAAGAATGATCATATCAAGGTGCAAATTGCTTTTCAAGACGGAGAGGAAAGTTTGTTAAAAACTTTACGGAGCTCCCAAGGTAAAAGTGGGACAAACAGTCATGTGGGAAAACATAATCAGAGAGTAGATCATACTGGTTTTCTACCTGTGTTCAATTTGGTTAAAGCAATTTGGAGGTTCTCATACATATGCTTATCTAAAGAAATTATTAAGCATCTGATCACAAAGGGCTTGCTCACAGCCCAGTCCACATATAAGTCCTTTGTTCATCTTGCCTCTACACTCTCAGTAATAAGAGTTCAAGAAATAGTAAGATCTGGTATATATGCTTCTGAGGGAGTCGATGCAGAATCACGTGAGTGCACTGATGGTCTCTTTTGTTGCCAAGTGGCTGTTCTAAACTTAGTGTTTAACTTAAAGCATCCTGAAAGAATAGGACGAAGGTTAGCTGCATCTTTGCATCTTTATCTTGGGGTAGGAGTCATTCAAATAATTTTTTCTGCTAAACCGATGAAGTGAAGTAATTTTCAAACATTTCTTTCCATTTAGCTATGGTCTCTCTTAACAGAGAGCACGGAATTACAGCAAAATTTTACATAATTCTTATTACCTTTTTGAGACCTGCATTAGTACTTCAGACTGACTCAGAAGTGATAACTGATGTTTTAGGAAGTTAGGAAAAACCCCACACCTATCTGCTTTTTACTAGATCATATTGGTTTGATAGTATCAATGTAAAGTCTATTTGTTGGTAAAATAATACCACAATAGACACTTTATTGTATTCATTCAGCCTTACTGTTACATATAGAATAGTGTACAAAAAGAAGACAAAATTATAAACAATATAAACCTGAATGCTGTTTTCTAACAGATGTTACATAAGGGATGCTAGAGAGATCCAATTTCTGAATTCTGAATCTTTTTTCTTTAAAACAAATATTTTGAATATTAGCAGACATTTACAGTTTTAATTTGAAATCTTTTTATTTAAAGCTGAAAACAGTTGTTCTCCAGACCATTTCCAGTGTAAAACAACGAAACACTGCATTTCTAAACTGTGGGTATGTGATGAAGACCCAGACTGTGCTGATGGATCAGATGAAGCTAACTGTGGTGAGTATGCCAGTGGTTTTGCATATATTGCTGTAGCATGATGTTTTTGAAAAAAAGTAGCGAAAGGAAATAATCATCCCACTTAGTATTTTCTCTTTCAACGTATGATAATACTGATCTGATATGAAAGCTCTATTGGGCTCATACAGTTCTTGTTGAATGCTAATCTTTTTTATGGGTAGTCTATAAACTTCATATTGTGCTATTACTTTATTGGCAGAAGATTTAAAGGCCTATCTCATTTGGAATATAACAACATTCTTGATTTTTCTGATAGTATTATCCAGTTTCTGTCAATTTATTCTGCACACTTTGCTGCTGCTGTCATTAATAAATAGTGAAAAATGTAATGACTTGCAAATCAAGTTAGTTCACACTGGCTGTGCAGAAGGGTCCAGAGCAGATTCCAACTTGACAGGACCGACTTCTCCCTGAGCTTCAGGGAGTTACGTGCTCTAACATACCACTCCACAAATTTTGAATCACCATAGTACTTCTGCAAGAACCCCCGATACTTCTGAAACATCTGTACTTAAATCTGATAATTTAGGAGGCAGATGCACAGAAGATCAAGGATAGAATTGCACCAGTAATAAACCAAGCTCTAATTTCTGTTAGATTTTACACAGTGTGCAGAACTACTGCATTCTTCCCCACTGAGGCAGATTTTTTCAAATTTAATTGCTAAGTTTGAATACAAAAATTTCTTTCATTGCTTTTTTGAAGACTAGGATCACAACTGTAACTCTAGAATTTTAAGCATGTTTTTCATATAACAGATTAATTGATTATATTTCTGCAGAAATAGTTACAATTCTTTTATTAAGACAATGCTCATAGAAAATTGAAAACATCTAAGCAGTTTTCACATCAGTTTATATGTGATACTGTTGTATATACCTACTATTCATCGTCACTTGGAAAAAAAAAAACCACAGTAGTAGTAATAGTAGTTGCTCTCAGTCATTGCTTGTGTTGGTGGAAAGTACTGAGTAAGCTCTTCTGTTGTAAGTGAAAGGAAATAATAAATACAATATACCACCTACAAAATGGGTTACAGATAATCAAAGTACAAAATAAATGGATCAGTATTGTAGGAAAATCATTGGACATGGATGTCAGCTCAAGAGCTACACCCACCAAGTGCAGAAAAACCTGTGGAAATCTTAAGATGAAGGAAAAGATGGAGAAATCTTCTTAGGTGGAAGAGAATGGGACAAATAGTTGGACGAAACATTCAAAGCTGACCATTTTTCATTCATGAAACCATAAATGTTTTGATGAAACACAGTGAGTCTGGACAAGGTTATGCCATCACTGGGATGAGAGTGTAACAAAATTACAGGCTGTAATCAAGAACAAAGAACTGAAAGCCAAATTTCTGTGGATGTGGTTCAAGCAATTGACTCAATCACATATATGAAAATATTGGAGCTGGTAAATACGTCTAGGAAATTGAACTCTTCCTCAACATTGAAAGTGCAAGATCATTGCTTGAATTGTCAAGAAGAGGAAACTAATTGATCATGTGAAGTGGAGAGAAGTTACCATACAAAAAGCATTTGGCTTGAAGAAACAATGAATGTGAAGCTTCTAAAGGGAGATAACCTATACAATAGAGACTCTTTATATCCTGTTCTGAGCTGTTCTTGAACTACCCTAGGAGTGCTCGCCATCTGATCCACTTCATAGGTGTTTTGTCTTGCACTGTCCCCCATCACCTTGATCTCAAATGTGCTGTTTCCTTCCAATTTGGATAGCATTCCAAGCTTGCAAACTGTGGATTCATATTTTGCAAGACCAATTGATATGGCACAAATTCATCTAACAATATCCTCAGGAGACAAAGTTTAAAAGAAAAGAAGGAGTGGGGAGCGGGAGCAGAAACCAACCCTACCAACTGAACAGGAAAATCTGGATTTGTAATAGATACTTCACTGGGATTCATCACGGTAGCCAATAGAAAGAATAAAGTCCAAATTAACAATTAAGTAGTACAGAGGTGCAGTGTGTGCAATCCCAAATTCAGTAGTGTTTTTTCAGGCACAATATGTACAACTGATTATTCTGCTTCATATCTGAGACTCATCTTGCCTTTTATGCTGCCTCTGGCAGTGGCTGAAAGCTAGCATCTAGAGAAGCATATGTGATCAAAGCCGGCCTGTAATGAAAACTTCCCTGGGACATTCTTCCAGCCTCTAACTATTTGAGACTCAGCGATATTTTGACTAAACATGTCTTTATGCAATAACCTTTGATGGATTTCAGTCCCCTTTAACCTTTTTAAAGCTTTCACAGCATGCTGTAAGAAGACATTCCACAGCTTCCCTGAAAAAATGCTTCCATTTTTAATTTAAATTTGCATATAATGCTCCCAGTTTTTGTGTTGGAGGAGGCAGCACAATTTATCTGTATTTGCAATCTCTGTGCCACTCAGTTATGTACACCCATAGAATAAGTAAGACTTGGCAAGAACAGGAGCGTTTTGATCATATTTTAAAGTTTTTCCCTAATTTTAGCATTTGAAATATGTTTTCATGAACTTATTATAGCGGTAGTTTGCATGCAGTTTGGTCTTCTCCACTGTTGGTTTTTTTTTTTAATTTTAAGATGGCTATTTTTATGAGTCAAATTTAATAGAATTAAATTATGAAGCTGCAAGCCAAGTATAACAAAGATCTGCATATGTTGGTGTTAACACTAACTGGCTATCATTTGTAGTTCATTTCTAAAATGCTCACAATGCAAAACTGGTATAAAGGATCATCTCTTTTTTGCTTAAACACTCCGTAGTCATATATTTTGCTTAGTCAACATTTGATACTCTGTTATTGTAGATATTATATTGGGTAAATTTGTTGGAAGTAGTCTGAATGTATTTAGTCTTCTCTGGTTACTTTCAGATTCAGACAATTCAAGCAGAATTAGGAAATGCATGCTTATTAAAGAGTGTATGGTGTTTTTCAAAGAACAGTACGTAGTTAATTTATTCTTTTGTCCAGGCAATTAAAAGAAGTCATTAAATCATGATAATCCTTGCTCACAGTTTTAATACTTGACATCACAAAAGACCCTGCTTGAGTTAGAATCCGAAGAAAGCTGTATGTGGTCTTGGAAAATCATTATAATCTGCTTTAAAGGTTATATGTATTTTGGGACTTTATTAGCAGAATGTGTCAACAGTAGTATGACTGCTTTCTCCTTACACACCTTCTTAAATATGAATTTTATTTGTAGCCTGGAGTCTAAGTGTTTTGAGTTTTTTGGGGGAGGGGGCGTTTCTGATGATAAAGAATATGTGCCTTGAGAAATTTGAAGGATACATTATATAAACTTAAACTTCCTTCAACTGGCTGATAATTTCCCGTGTCCAGCATCAGTGACAACATGGCAAGATCTAGAACAGGTATATGATCTTCAATCCAAGCGAGTTACTTTTCATTTTGGATTTTATCCCTGTCAATCATGTACACAGAAACACACAAATGCAGAGACATGCACATGTATGGAAATAAAACCCCCAAATGGCAATGCAGTGCAGTTAGTGGTGAAATAGTGTTTTACTTCATAGGGACTGATATTTGAATAAAATGCTTTTAGGATGCATATGTAATATCTTTGGGTTTGGTTTTTCCTTTAAGACTTCTTTCTACTTGCTTCGTGCTCATCTAGAATTACTTCTAAAATAAAAACCTAGTTTGGTGTGCGTGAAAGATGAACCCCAATCAACCTATAGCTACCTCAGACAGTCACTCCAATATCTGAAAAAAGCCCTTTGCATGTTAAAATAGACCAATGAATCTCTAAATAATAATTTGAAGGCAGAAATATGAAAATTGAGTTATTAGTACTTCTCTGAACTCTCACATTTTAAGGTGTGATTTTTAAGAAACTTGAAGGTAATTTTAAGAAAAATGGAAAGCAATTTAGTGTTGAAGACAACAGTGACAAAATACGTGTGTGTCTGTGTGATTTTCAAGATTCCACAATTAAAAAAAAGAAAAAAGGTCTTTGAGTTGAGTAAGTGTCTTTCTCAAAGAAAATGTGTTTGTTACACAACTTTCCAAATATTCCTCTGTTATGTCTTAATTCTAGTATCCTAGTGTTATCTTCAGCTCTTACTAATGTGAAGAAGGAAATGCAAGACAATCAGATCTGGTTTGTAAGACATTGTCAAGGGTAAGCTGCTGTGAGAGATCAACCCAAAAGAAAAATAAAGATTTCAGATTTGTGAAGTGACGAAGAGAGAGCCTTACAAACATGGAAAAATATTTTGTGTGAAGAAAGACTTAAATATTTCTTTTGTTTCATGAAAATATTAATAATCATTCATTAAAAGATTAATATTAAAGTGGTAAACATAAGGTTAGACTACACATGGATAAATTTAAAAAAAAAAGTATCTAACCTTTCTTCACAAGTTTAAAGAGGCAATGCTAGAAAACAGATTAAGCATCCTTAAGAAACAGATATTTCTTTATGAAGAATAAGAAAAGATACATTGCATGTTCTCTTTGTCCTAGCAGGTAGCTGAAATGAAGGGATGTCATCTCTGACTTTGGTATATTTCTGATTAGTTTTTGGTATTTCTGTTGAACATGGAAGGATAAATACAATATAATCTGTCATTAGTCTTTGGGACTCATTTTCTGGAGCTATATGTTAATGAGAGATTGTAGACATTACTGGAAGTACTTCAGTAAACATAGGGTAGATTTCTGGTTTGAAACCTTTTCTTTTGCAAAGCTGCAGAACGAAACACAAGTGTATGGGGGCGGGAGGGGGAGAGAGGGAGTTTTTTTTGTTCTCTGATGTTACATGTTTTTAAGTGCTTTCCAATGCAAGTATTTCAAATGTCATGATTGAAATGTCATAGACTCTCATCTTGAGAAAGTATTTTGGGAGAAAACCACTTACAATCCCGATATTGACAGAGAATAAGAAACAGTTGCCACAGGCAGTATTGTAATTACCAAATTTTTGAGTGTACACAGCTGAGCTGCAAAACCATTTACCTCCACCTTCTTGATATTCAAATGCAGTTTTGATTTATCGCTCTAGTTCCAGAACCATGCTTAGAATAGGCATGAAAAGCAGCAGTTTGGGCCTTATCAAATCTAACACCTCAAATTTGTGGGCCTTTCCATTTCACAGGCAGAGAAAGCAGGTGGTTTTAAGCTTGTGTTTCAGTTCTTCTTCATTCTGTCAGTTATTAGAACTCAGCGAGTTGTCATAGTGGCATTATGATGTCTAAACTGACATGCTATGAAATAGCCTAATGGAAATTTTTAAAATTTCTATTGAAATATCATCATACTGAGATGTAATTTTAAATACGCCATTGAGTCTCTTACAAAACAAACTGGTTTTTTTCATGAAAAATGTCATAGATAACTTTTTAATTTACTTCATCTGAGTCCTTAGAACCCAAAAGAATGACTCAAGATATAAATAAAATATAAATATAACTCAAAATATAAATAAAACACAGAGGCAGCTCCTTCCTTCTGGAGGAGTTGAGGATGGTCACGCATCTCCAAGAGGCTTTTCTACAATGCTGCTCTGTAAACAGGGAAAGCTCATTGAAAATTTACTGTATGAAGAAATTGAACCTCAGTTTAGCATTATATGCTTGGTAATATTTTTATTCTGTATAAGTAAAATTCATTCCAGTCCAAGACATCAGAATGTGAAAATATGAATCAAAATAAAAAGTTTCCTGTCAGTCTTAAGTTATGATATGCAAACATAGCTTTTGAGAATAGGTTTTTTTGTACATTTTTAAACTACATATTCTTGTGCTTTAATGTGATGTGATCTTTTGTAACATAATCTTACAGTTGAATTCAAGGAAAGGTCAATGCAGTTTTTGAGATTCAGTGTAATAATAACCTCTCCTCAAGCTAATTTATGATTTTTTTACTTTAAATGACAGTATTAACAGTCTGTAATTAAATTTTTAATAATATTAGCATATCTCTTTTGGTATGAATGAATAAATAAAATCCTCAAGAATGTGACATGAGAAATAAATTTTAAGTGTTTAATTATTTAAGTAACATTTTAATGTATTATGTTTGCTCCTTATTAGGTGTATCAAGCGATATTCTCAGGTCACTGTTTAGTAGCAGCCTTTCCAGTTATGCCACTTTGTCTCCAATTATATAGATGATGTTTATCTTAATTACAGATAAGAAAACTTGTGGGCCACATGAATTCCAGTGCAAAAACAACAACTGTATTCCAGATCACTGGAGATGTGACAGCCAAAATGATTGTGGTGACAATTCTGATGAAGAAAACTGTAGTAAGTAACTTTTTACCTAACTACACGTTATAAGGAGTTACTCAAAGTAGCTCAGTTAACCTGATTCTCTTCTACCTATGAGGAACCTGAATGCCCAATAAGTCTCTAATATCATGTTCAGTTAGTTAATTTAGATCTGGTTCTTGGGAAGAAATGACATTCTTAATGGTTTTATCTTGAAATCATTGTCTTTATAATTTCAAGAAAATACACAAATAGTTCTGAAGTGCTTTCTCTTCAGTTGGTAATTTCTGTTCTTTTTTTCTTATATACTTAGAAATACAAGAAATTAGTAGCTTTTTGTGTAGATAATCTTGAATGCATATTCCTGATTGTATATGAAGAATATGTGTTTGAGGTAATACCCTAGAAAGCTTAACTTAGTAGGTGTTCTCATGCTGTGTAAGTACTGTCTGCCCGTTTCTCCTGTGTGAGGCACGGTGTACGTAGACACGGGATGTGAAAACTAGATCATTCTGCTGGAAGGTCAAAGTGGATTTGTCTGCCTCTTAATTATTAACTACATTTGAAAATGTTCTGAGTTAAGCAATAGTGGTATAGTTTTCAAATGCAAGTGTTTCATCTAAAGGGGAAAACGTCATGTTGCTCAATAATTAGTGAGTGATTTATTGTTATACCTCTGGGTGGGGAGGTTGACACACAAAAGTTTTCTTAACTTTGTGGGAGTTTTTACTTAGGAACTGATTATTGATGCCAGCGGGATTTTCATTTATATTATAAAAAGCAAGGAATTACTTTACGTTCTTCTACCCTCATGTTAAAATCAAAGAAAGAGACATAGTTTTGCTATAGCAGTGTTAATCTGTATGACTAGCTAATCTTTGAAAATCTGAAAAGTAAAAAAAAAAAGGAAAGCAGAACTTTACAGAAAGCATTATTGGTGTTTGCAAAATAACTTTGAAATTTTCCATGTGTGAAGTGGGATTTATTTATCACTCAGTATTAATAATTTCCCTCCTTAAAGTTTAGGTTATCATAGCACAAATTGATAAAATGTTCAAATAATCAGAGAGCAATAATCTGTCAGGGCTTTTAAAAATTATTTGTTAAGCTTGCCATCTTTGTGTTCACAGCAATAATTACATTCTGTATTCAGTTCTTGGCTGTTCTTAGACTTTCAGACAAAGAAATCTGGTTAATTGTAATAGATGGAATTAGTGAGTTGAGAGTACCCAGACACAGCGAGTGCATCAGCCTGAACGACAGAGGTGAACTGTAGTTTGTGTTAGCTTTTTTTCATTTTCTTTTGCTTTTCGAATTAATACTTCAGTTCTAACTGTCGAGTCCCATATTTTGCTGTTTAAATGAAGTACAATAGGCTGACACAGTTGTAAAATTCAGAATCTTGGAAGCATTGGGATAATAAATAATTTTGTTCAATTGTTTGAAGTAGATGTATAAAATTCTTTATAGGCTGTCAAGCCACTTATAGACTAAAATGTAATGAAACAAATACATACAAAGTTAGAACTTCAAAAGCGTTTGACAAAGTACATTACATTACACATTATAATAAGTTGTTCATAGCATACATGAGTTTACAAAGGGCTTGTCAGGCAACTATATCACAAAATGAGTTGTTTCTCAAGAATGAAGTATGAATTCATTGAATTACAGAAATTCAACTTGAGTATTTGCATTTCTCTATGTAGTTTCTGCTCATGCACACACAGAATGATGGCGAACTCCGCAGAAGTGGAACAGAATGCATGTTAAAAAGATATCACATACGGGTGTGAAAAATTATTAGTGATATAATGCAAATGATTGTGCCTGATATGACTTTGTTATTTAACTGTATTTGTCTTACAATCTATTGTTCTTCAGCTGTATTTGGGCCCTCCAAATAAGTAAGAGTTATTAGGAAGGCAGGAGGTTCATACTGAGGTGGCACTAAGCAAAGTAGAAAGCATTTTTAACTCATCTGAGTTAATATCTCTTTGGAGGGGGAACTTGCTTTCAGAGTTTATTTCAATTTTTAAAAAAGAACTTAGTGCAAAACCAGTAATTTCTCTTTAAGGAAACGTCAAAAAAGAAAAATTCATAGAATCACAGAATGGTTTGGGTTGGAAGGGACCTTAAAGACCATCCAGTTCCAACCCCCCTGCCGTGGGCAGGGACACCTTCCACTAGACCAGGTTGCTCCAAGCCTCGTCCGTCAATAGCAACAGCTATTGTCAATAATTGACTCAAGTCATCAATAGCAACAGCTATGTATTCCTTCTGAAAAGAAGGCACCAGTAATATTTTTTGAATGTAATTTTAAAAAATATAGTACACTGTAAACATTGAAGCAAAGTAACCACAGTAATACTATGGAAAGGTATTAATTCAACCAGTGTAAAAATATTACTCTTGCTAGAGAATCTTCTCAGTGCTGTTTGTTGCTCCTACAAGTTTTCAAGAAAACAGATTAATTAATTTTGTTCTGGGATATGTTTGTATCCCAAATGCAATGAGATCTAGTGATTATTTAATGTTAAGTGAAAACATTTTAAACCAGCCTATTGAAAGAAACCATGCTGGAATGTCTCATGGTGTTACCTTGAGCAAATCTGGAGTGGACAATGCTGTAAATTTTCAGTCTTATCAATGCTTAAGGCTCAGCTGGCGTGGTGCTTGTCACACAACGCCCAATGTTGGTTTTCTAAAAGCAGCTAGGTGTCAATGCTAGCCAAAGGCAAGTATCCTATTTAGTAGGATAAAATGATGTGTACCAAAGGTTTCTTCTTTTATGTACACCTGCCAGTGTTAGGCTTAGATTAACAAACAAGTGTCTTTTTTGTTTTGGTGAAACAGAATGTGCAGTAAAGTTATTTTCAATAACTAAGTAAAGAAAATCTGCATTTAATGCCACATAAAAACCATGAAAAAAATCCACCTGGGACCAGTTTAATTCTCTTGACTTTACAGTTTTTCATTCTACAGGATGATGCATTTTAGTTTTTTTAACAGCTTTGTAATGGAGAGAGAATTGCAAAGAAGGGTGGTTTTGGTTTTTCCTCCTCTTCCATTTTGTCATGTGTACTGGTTTTGGCTGAGAAGAGTTCATTTTCTTCATAGCACCTCATACCATGCTGTGTTTTGGATTTGTGCTGAAAACAGTGTTGATAGCACAGGGATGTTACTGCTGAGCAGGGCTTGCACAAAGTCTTATTCTGCTCCCCACCCCACCAGCGAGGAGGCTGGGAGTGCACAAGGAGTTGAGAAGGGACACAGGCAGGACAGCTGACCCCAGCTGACCAAAGGGGTATTCCAGACTGTATGATGTCATGCTCAGCATATAATAATCTGGGGAAAAGGAGGAGGAAGGTGGGATGTTCAGAGTTATGGCGTTTGTCTTCATAAGACAGTTAACATGTCATGTAGTCCAGCTTTCCTGGAAGCAGCTAAACACACCAGCCTGCCAATGGGAAGTAGTGAATGAATTATTATGTTGCTTTGCTTGCGTACACAGCTTTTGCTTTACCTGTTAAACTGTCTTTATCACAACCCACAAGTTTTCAAACCTTTAGACTTCTGAGTGGCTGTGTGTGGGGCTCAGCTGACCTCTGGGGTTACCCCACAACATCATGATAAAACTGTGTCGCTGGTGTTATGTGGACGCATCATACTGGATACTCTGTCTTTGTTTATTGAAAAGCTTCAAATCCCACATAACCATCTAGTAGTAGACCTAATGAATACTCTGTTATCACTAGAAATTGTGGCCTATATTTGTCCCTAATTCTTCTAAATCTGTGCGATCTACTGCCAAATGCTAGGATGAACAGATAGGTCAATGTACACTTCTAATTTGTTCTGATTGAAGTGCTCCTACCCCATGTGTGTATTGCTGTTACTTGTTTTTCTTTGTAGAAGTTCCACCTTGTCTAATATACAAATTAGTTTCTCTATAAGTTGGCTTTGTAACAGCTCTTACAAGACATAGAATTCTCAGAAGAAGCAAACATACTTAAGCTATACAAATGCAAGTAAACGAACACTATAAATTTGAAAGTCATGTCCTATTTTAAGAAAAAAGTTGGGGTTTTCCCCTCTGACTTGTATATAAGCAATAAATCTCCTAAAAAATCTTTTCAGTTAATGACTTAGTACATTATCTGTGATAATCAAATGCAAAATTGAACCCCAAATCTGAAAATATTTTAAGTTTCTCATGACAACTTTTTCTTGCTGCTACTCAAGTTGACAAATGTCTGTTGGCCCTAGAAAATATTTTCAGACTTAAAAATGTGAAAGAAGTAGACCATCTTGTGTGCTGTGTTTCCAATAAAATTATTTCTAATAATTCAAAAATGCTTTTCTCAGGAAGGAGTTTCACTGTTTTTATAAAGCAGAAGCTGAAAGATGGTGTCCTTCATTGGTGATACAGAAGTCTATTAATACTTACTCCTTTCACTAACAGTCTGAGCACTGATGGGAAAGTCCTCTTCTGTGTCATATGTAAATCAGAGACGTGTTCATGCAGCAGAAGAAACCTTTCTTGGAAACAGAGACTGAGAAGTCAGCTCACTGTGTACATTTTTTCAGAATCAAATCTGTTTATAAATAATTCATTAGCAGTATAGAAAATGTATTTGCTTATATTTTGCAAATCAATATAGAAACATGACAAATGTTTATTTGCATGTGAATTGCTTTTGCCACAAATTATTTCCTTTACATAGTTTATCATATTTTGAACTTCCTCTTCCTGGCCTGTTGACAACAAAAAGAATCAAATGTCAGTGATTTACTGAAGTTTATACAATAAGCTTTTGCTTTGAAAAAAATTTCAAGTACTATATACATAATCTAAGAATCAATATAAATGCTAACTTTTGCTTTGCTTAAATATAGCATTGCTAGAAAACTGATGCCATTGCAGTAGATCTGCTTTTATTACAACTTTTCTGCAACTTCAGAATGAAAAGTTCTGCCTATTGAAAAAATAAAATTTCTCTTATAAACTTTCAAACTTGTTCATTAAAACTAAAAAAAATTATAAATCCAGAAAAAAGTTAAGTTCAACTTTGGATTCCATAGATCTGCACAGCTACATCTTTTACACTGACATGTTGGTATTTACAAAAGTCTTCTCAATTGGAACCCCCTAATTTTGTGTTTTCTTTCCTTGATCACTATGGTGTGTTTTACAAAAGCATTCATGCTTCCTCCTTCCGTAGCTAGCTAAAGGAGCCTTCAGCGTTACCCAATCCGTTAGTGTCCATTGCTACATCTGCTCCATCTCTCCTCTCTTCTCCACCCCTCCTTCATTGATTTTTGTCCTTGTCATTTGCCGTTTGCCTCAACTTTTATCCCATCTCTCTGTTGAAATGATCTTACCAATTAATCCTTATTCTTGATTTTACAGTATTTACATAATGAAATGTTTTCTGTGATGGAAATAATCCCTCAAATAATCTTTGTTTGCTTTTTCATTCCTG